TATCTGACAGATGAAGCGATATTATTGGGAGTAAATATTAATTTTGTTTAGTAGAAGCATTGCGGTATTCACACTCTTTCATAGGTGCCCACTTAACCATATCCGTACCGCACTCTTTCTCAGCCTTCGCACTGACCGCGAAGTTGCGGGTGCCTCGACAAAAATCTAAATGGAGGATTAGAAATAGGAACCATGTGAGGCTAAGCATCCCATTAATAGACCGGTCTTTATTTGGCGCTCCTTGATGACGCCTGTCTGCAAAACGAACGAAAGATGACAAAAGACCAACCAATTAGTGTTGGCTAAAGCCATTGCGGCCATTCCAAGCATTATTGTTCCGTCAGGAACGCATACTCGTGGAAATTTCAGTTTGTGTACCTTTAATAACAAAGAAATAAATACAAGGGTCACCAAAAACACAAGAAATGTCTCCTACTTTTTGGTCTACAACGAATAAAGTTGATACAACACTTCCCAAGGCAACGCGTTAGACAAGGCACTTCCAACGCTTCTGAGATAACGCGTATCAGAAATCCAAATTGAAATACACATTTGCTTTTCCGTTTTCTACATCACCATTGTAGTGCTTTAAGTATGATTTAAGGCTTGATTTTGATCAAACGAGCGTCTGGAGCTCCGCCTTTGTGCTCCTGCTATGCGACATGACCTCCAGATCATGCTAATAGCCTCTCATTCACCCTCCCACCCTCCCTCCGCCTCCCCCTGTGTCACCAATGCATATTCTCCTGCCATCTTATGGCTTCTTTCATTTTACTAGGGTCTGTATTGATGGCAACGGGAAGCAAATCCAGTCGTAAAGGTCAACTATTTTGGTTGTCATTGCTGAATGCTGAACCTTAGCATGGCAGAAGAAGGGAATATTTGGCGTATGGGAGAAATTGCGACAAATTCCGCCCTTCAGTAATGCTATCAACGAAGGAGACGGGCATTAGTCGTGAACCATTGCTACAGAGCTTGGAATATGATCCGTATGTCTGTTAAGGAAACGACACATCCCGCGCTTCTCATAAAGCCAGATAAAACAAAGTAGCGATGCAGGTGAGTGTAACTGAGATAAGAACAAGGTAACGCAGAGATGTGAAACCTTTACTACTTGTCGCCCCTTTGAGGCTAGTGGTGTTACAGCGAGCGTAGTTGCTTCGGTGCAGTGGATGACGCGGGAGGCTGGCTAAGGAGGCCACCGAGAGCTGCAATTGTTTGATTGTTTAATACCCCTTCTGGACCATGCTAATAGACTACAGCCATTTATTACGTCGGCACCACAAATTCGACCAGAGTGTCGAGTCCTCAGGAAAGCTTTGAATGCTAAACGAGGACGCAAATTAAAACACGTCCAAACTGACTTGACTTGCTTTCCCAAATTGTACTACGTCACCACACGCTAAAGAGACTTGGAGTTTACCTGTTCATATCAGAGACACGTCGAAACACATCAGGTGAAAGCAGATGGGTTGTTTCAGCTCGCTGAGGCGTAGCCTCAAACCAAGTGGGGCAGATGGACGGGTCACTTGATGAAGTCATTCACGTTAGTCCTGACTGCAAATAGATATGGCGAATGTCCAGAATCTTGGTGTAATTCGTAGAGTATTAAACATGAGGGGAGATTGGTAGGTGTGATGAACAGTTCAGTGTCGAAAGATGCACGATTACAGTATGCAGAGCAATTTCTCTTCCATTTAGAAGCACAAGAAGGCAGTTAAGTGGAGCAAACTGCTTACCCTGACAGACGCTATTAATGCCATCGAGATACTCCAACGTGAGCTTTTAAAGGAAACATGTCCTACTGTCACTGGAGTTGGCATGTAGGGATAAATCAACCATTTGCTGCTAACTTGCATCCCATTTACCGCATAGTCAGTATTTTCCAACATAAAAAGAGCAAACCATTGTTTGGAGTGAAGTGGTTCTCTAGCAAAAGCATCTACTTTAAGCGTTTCATTTTACAGATAAAAGTGGGCCCATAGTTGGCAGCAAGACGAGGAATGACTGTCACTCCGAGAGCCAGGCCGGTAGTAGAGTAGGCGGGCACCACTCGTACGCCCAGTGAAGGTTTCAGCTGCGAGACACATATTTCGACAAAAGCGGTGGAATCGACCACTGCAAACTCCGATTCATCATTGCCTTTGTGTGGTGCGAGGCAGAACTCAATGATGGCCTGATTCTGAGCCGTCGAGAGGGTACACGTAGAGTAGACTACGTAGCCTCCTACCTCACAGAGGGACATCGCTAATCTAGGCAAATCAAGAGAGATAGCAGAAGCGATGGCGACCCGGTGTAGTGTATTAGTTTGTAGCCTAAACCTCACTAGGCATCATCACAAAAAGATTTAGCAAATGGGATGACGTATGGAGTTGGCCAGCCGCAAAGGCATTTTCAATTAACTGACGCTAAATTGAAACACTGAGTGGTTTTAAGAGGCGTTAACGCAGGCCATAACTAGAAAGGCTAATGTTTGAAATCGCTCTCAGTAAAACACGCATCCAAACACACCCTGCCCCTCTTCCCATCCGATGGACTCTCTTTGATTTAATATACGTCAAAAGTCTGTTAGATGCGGTCTCGTCAGGGAGGGTAGATTGGAATTCGATACCTTCAGGAACACCAGATCAACCTTGATGGCGCTGTTTCCAACATGTTTAACTGGACTATGCAATTAACAAAGATTTGGGTCAGCGAAGGTCAAAGTGTTTATCCCTAATATTTGAAACAGGGACGAAGGCATAAGTTCGTGTGTAGCTCCCATTTGGTAATAAAACCCTCCAAGTGGACCACCTTCGAGGTGACCGTCCATCGTTCCTGCTGATGGAGTTAAAAGAAATTAAGGTTGCCGTATTAAGACGATATTGACAAAGCAAAGGGATTTAAGAATTGCATAAACTTGGAAAGGAAACATCGCTTAGGAAACCGCCTAATGAATTAAAAGGTAGCAATAAACGTCTTCATGTACTCTTTCCAATGTTTCCAACAACTCAAAGACACTTCAAGTTCGAC